AGAACCGGTCATTTAGGATCAAACAATTCCCCCAAGGGGGAATAAATTGCGCGTGATTCGATACATAGGTGAAATCAATTTTCGAATCCGCGTTGTCCATTCACTTTTTCTTTTTTTTTTTTTTTAATTTTTCAATAATAATGAACGTCGTTAATTTTTATCTTTTAAAAGAATTAATTCTGATAAATGATCGTTGATAAAATTGATGATTTATAGAGAGGAAAAATTTCTCGAACAATCGTTTCATTGTTTTATTCAGCCGTTCGAAATTCGATCCATAATTATTGGCAATAATTAGCTTCGTAATCTTATCCTCGAGGGAAAATATATTTCAAGAAATTCTTTAATAAGTTAATGAGCTGTACGAGATATCGTTTGTCCAGGAACTGCCAGTTGTGGCAGTTAGAGGAAATTAAAGTAAAGATAATTGTGCGATAAGAGACTTTGTCTTTTGTCAAATGATCGAATTTCACAGTCGAAAAATCCACGAGCCGTCCCCGGTTGTTTTTTCTACTTCACGTGTCGGAAAATAAACGATGCGCAAACGATTGATGTAAATTTTTAAGCCGTCGCGCTTTGACGAAATTCAAATTGAATTCGAAACTGGACACGCTCGATTAACATTTGCCGCGAGAAAATCAATTTTCACACCGGGAGAATAATTATCGATGACATCGTTCAACTCGTAGCCCGTCCCGTTTTTTGGATGGATTCGTGACGCGTTTGAAGTGCGAGAGAGATCTCGAGTCTCGTGTTAAAAATTCCATGAAACACGTGACATCCTGTTCAACTCGATTCTCTACAATTACATTCGTCAAAAAGAAATTTAGGGAATTTCAAATTTTTTTTTTTCAAAATTATACGAATCGAGGAATTAAAAGAAGAGATCCAATAATAAGGTGATCAATTATACACAACATTGAAATTGTGATCCAATTATATCCAACTTTTCTTTCATAGCTACATAATAAAAATATTTAATTTTATATATTATATATTATATACACGAAAGAATCGAGAAGATTCTGTTAAAATTTTAACTCAAACAAGAGATCTATAGCAGACCATACATAGACTACATTAGGAAATTAAAAATAAAAATTTCTTCCTTGTAACTATTGCACCATAATAGAAATATATAATCTCATATTATATTATACACACGAAAGAATCGAGAAGATCTTAGATTTAAAATTTTAACCTTTCTAATTGTTTCCTCGGCTACAGCATGTTAATAATGAAATAAAATAATCCTGGATATTTTTTATGACTATACCAATTGTTTACACGTCAACGAGGCAACAATTGTCTCTCTGCAACACGTGACAAGAGGAGAAGATCCCTTAAGAGAAGCTGCAAACGTTCCAAGAGCGTGTGCACCCCGGGTGAAGGCACAGCGAGGATTCAAGTGGTCGGTCCGGTTGCCTTTCTCACGGCGCCGGGGCTTGAAAAACACGAACAGCACGAAGAGCCATTCCCGCCGCCTTGATGACCGTACAAAAGAGGCCTGCTGAGAACACATAGGTAGCTCAACAGGTAGCGCGCACAAGTACCTTTCTCCCTCTCCTTTTATATTCTCGACGACCCCCTCGCGCCTATCCACGCACAATTTCGTCGTTGAAAACTCATCTCTGCGCTCCGCAGATATTTAATGCGACGAGAAATTGAATTTCGAAACGATCTTTGTTGTTCGTTCGTTTCAATCATCTTTTCGTATCGTTCCATTCGATTCTTCCATTCCTTCTCGAAAACGAGGGAGGATATAATTGATCTTGTAAGAGATATTGGGATCGAGAAAGAGTAGGGAGATTTTTAAAGATTTGTAGCAAGAAATTGTAGTAGCGTAATAACAAACTGTTTCTCCTTTATCGAAGAGGAATCGGATTGTATAAATTCAAAAATTGTTATATTGGACTTGTCTTTTTGAGTTTATTTATGTGTATAATAATATACTTATAAAACTTAGTACGATTTGAAAATCGTATCGATTTGAAAAATGTTAAACCGATATATAATAATAATAATAATAATAAAAACACTCGTTGATTTACATCACGCAATTTTCATTCGAGACAAAGTGTCTCCCGAAAAAGAGAAGGTGAAAAAAAAATCTCATACGATATATTCTTCAGAAAATTTCCACGTATATAATGACATTAAAAAAAAAAAGGATCGAAATAATACAAAAAGACTAGACAAATCTTACAAGATGATGAAAAAAAAAATAAAATATATATTTATAACACGATTGTGTGCAAACGTATGTCGCCACACAATGGAGCACCGTTTCGATTAATTAAATTCCAACGGTATATCATAATCGTTAAAATCCCCATTGGCGTGACATTTGCGCGGGCTCGAAGGCAACGTGATCGTCACGATCGAGCGACCATTCGTGTTCTGCCTGTCCTGTTCCAACCTCGGATTCCGGAATCCATCCCCCCCCGAATCGCCGAAATCTCCTTGCCTGCCTTTATTATCATTATCGGTCGAGAACAGCATCTCCTTCAGCATCTCCAACAATTCCACCTCGTTCTTCTCGCCCAGCTCCTCGATCACGCGCAAAGCGTCCAGCATATCCCCTCTCTGCGCCATCTTATCGCCAAACTCGCTCAATTTGGCGGGCGTTGTGTTTCTTCTTTCCGCCGTCCTCGCCACCACACCGCCCACCACCTCTTCCACCTCCATCTCCCCGTTGTCGCTCACGCGACAATCCCCTCTTTTCCCCAACACGGTTCCTTCCTCTATCACGTACGTGCCTATCGTGTTGGCGCTTTTCAACGAGGTTTTGCTACTCTGGTTCTTCAATTCCTCCTCCTCCTCTTCCTCCTCTACTTCTTCTTCCTCCATCTCTTCTTCCTCTTCCTCCTCCTCTTCCTCTTCCTCTTCTTCTTCCTCCTCCTCCTCCTCGTCTTCTTCCTCCTCCTCTTCCTCTCCCACCTCGTCGTCATCCCCCTGCTCCTCCTCGCTTTTCCCCTTACTCACGTTCTCCTCTATCTTCTTCTCTCTCTCCCTGGGGCCTTTCTTCTCCCGCACCTCCTTAATTTTCGGCGAGTAAGAGGGGAAGAAGGACATGGAGGAGGATTTATGGAAGGGCGAGGATGAAATTCTTTCCTCCTTTCGATCCGAGGACGATGATTTCTTCACTCTGAACGTGGAGTTACCAATCTCCTCCTCCTCCTCCTCTTCCTCTTCTACTTCCTCTTCTTTCTCGAGATCGGAACGGGCGTATGTCCGCGTTGTCAACGGATCGTCGACCAGTTCGACCATCCTTTCGTTCCCAGACTCGTCCTCCCTTCGCTCAGTGATCACCTTCCTCTGGGAGAAGACCGTGGTTATCACCGTTTGCTCGCTCACGAACAGGTTCACGTTCTGCCTCGCCGCTGCCTGGTCCTGCGACATCGCCGAGGCGACGATCTCGTAGCTTCCGTTCTCGAACGGGATCATGCGGAGTGCGTGCGCCACCTGGTCGATGAGATCGCGTATGTACGACATCATCGGAGTGTCGCCCTCCTCCTCGGTGATCTTCGCTGCCACCTGCAGCTCCTCCAACGATTCCACGAATCTTCCTAATTTTGCTAAGCTTTGACCTTTGGGAGAGGGAAAAGAAAAGGAAAAAGTGGGGATTGGAAATTTTATCTGCGATTTTTATTATTTTTTCCCTTCTCGTAAAATTCTTGCGATATGTTATATCGGTTTTCGCACGGAGATCGAATCGAAAGCGAGTAAAAATAAAAAGATCGGAATTGGATTCGAAGAGAAATGGTAGAAAAGGGATAATAGGATTACCGTTTGACAATAGCTAGAGTTAGAGCAAAGAATTAATCGAAGTAAACCGTCCCACGCGATTCAGTAATTCGAGTAATTCTCGTATTCCTCTACGCGTTATAGAGATGGCGCTGTCCTACCGTTCATCGGTGGAAAGATGTCTCGCGGGACGGCACGGGAGCAAGACGGGTTGCCTATCCCCATTCCAGACGCTACGTAATGAAGCTGTAATTTGTATATTCAACATCGTAAAAATTATTTTCATTCGTCGAGTTACATTTGGATAATCAACCAAGACTGAAATATTTTCGAAAGTATTCATAATATGCCTGACTTATTCGTATACGTACGATTATTATCCCAATTACTCGAGTACGAAATTACATTTAGAGAAATAATTATATTTAGAAAAATTGTTATATCATATCGATACGTTGGAATTCTCTGGATTCTATGCATAATTCATCGAGAATATATTCAGAAAATAGAGAAAATAACCGGTTCCTTCCAAATTAACCAATCAGACTTCACGGAGACTTCTTTCCACCAGTGAACACAGTTGCCTTTTTTAAAATTGAAAATTACTCAAATTAAAATGCTTAACCCTTAGGACTCCTATGTCGAATGTGACTCGACATTATATAAAATAATTTATAATACATTTCGCCATTTTACACAATTAAACAGTTGTTGCTAGGTAAAAAAAAAAAAATTAAGGAGTGCAAAGGATTAAATAAATATAATCTCGATCCTACAATTATCTCCAATTATTATTATTATTATTATTACATTGTTCTGAACAATGAAATTATCGAAGTAACTTCTCACTCGTAACTTCAACTATTAAATTTCCCAACCAAGTCGAACAAGTCTGGCAACGAGACTATTTGTAACGTACAATTCGAACATATCTTACCTATCAACAATCTTCCATTCAGCATCCACTTCTTAGAATTGCCTTTGGTGGCAGCGTCCACGCACTTGAAACCCATCTCCATCGCCCTCTCGTACTTGCCGGTCTCCAAATAGCATCTTCCAATCTCGTGCCTGATCCAAGCCACCGGGATCGGTTTCTTCAGATCCTTGGCAAGATGCTCCCACGCTTTAGCGGCCGCCTCGAGGTGGCCGAAGCTGAGATGCACCTTGCCCAACGTGACCAACGAGCGACAGATCAGATTCACGTCCGCGGTGCTCTTCGAAAGACGGATCAAACGGGACACGCTGCACACAGCGCGATCGTGCCTTCTCAGAGCGACGTGGATCAGGGACAGGTAATGGTAGGCCGCTATCTGGTAACGGGTAGGATCCTGGAAACCTCCGAAACAAGCAGCAGGTCCTGGGCGATCTTCAACGCGGACGACATCTTGCCAGACTCGAACGACGCTTGGAGATTCTTCAACGAAGTCTCGGCCAGATTGTTCATCTGTTTGTGCGCCATTTTCGATCTTGCCAGCTGGTTGCTCGACATCCGGGGCGAGGGTTGAGTTTTCCAGTAGCTCTTGTGATTGTCGAAGTAACTGTTTTTTTACAATTTTTACGAAACAATATATATTTATAACAGTTGGAAATTTCGAACGATGCGCGATTAGCTCGTCTTTCGACGTCTCTATTCACGTCCACGCTTTAAACTCATAAGCCTGATCGAATACTTTGATCGTCGTAGATAATATATTCTCGTAGAGTGGGCAGATCTGACGTAATTCGATAAATTAATTAACGAATATTTAATTCTCGCTTCCTTTTAGAAATGTGAGATTGTTAATCGTGATTAGGAATTGTGTGGAGGAAAAGAAAATTTGGAGAGAGGAAAAAAAGAAAGGAAGAAAAAGGAACGACGTACCTCAGTACCTCGGGGATGATCGCGGGTTCCGGCGATTTCTTAGCTTCTCACTGGCTATGATGGCGGCGGTTTCCGGGCAGAGGGCGGCGGTCAATTGTTCCCCGGAGATCGGCGAAACTTTCCTCACGGCTTTCGACGGATTATTGCAAGAGCTTATCGTCGCCGCCGTCCTCCTCGCCGCGACACCGTGGTTACTGTCCTTTGGGTACAAGTTGGCCGCTCTATGGTAAAGCACCAACGCTGATTCGTAATCACCGCTGCAAATTGCGATTACGAAACCGCGTTTATCGACGATCATTCGTCCCTAAACGAATCAAGCACGGCGCAACGGTGATTCGAATAAGTTCGACAGGACAGATTTGTTCCTTTCAGCTTGTACGGAGATTTAATTTTTATTCGAAAAGAATATTGCTTTTTATTGTTTAATTTATTGTTTCGTTAAAAATGTGTATATATAACGTAGAAATAAAAAAATTAAGGTTGCATTTAATTAATAAATGGAATAAAAAAGAAACTACACATATTTTGTTTAATTTGTAAATATTTAAAAAAAGGATTTAAAATTTCAATGTATGATTATTGAGACAATTATTCTTTATATACATTTGAAAATGAATTTTGTCCATTTAATATACATTATTCGAACCATTGTGCGTCGTTGGTCGTTGCCTCTCATTCCACCAATTGGAAGAGCCGAAGATTATGTAGGAAAAATATATATGAAATTTAAATAATCTCGATACCACACTTTGATTTTCGATCCTAAAATGATCTCCACGCTCAAAATAGGTCTAGATAGATCGTATTTTGGAACGCACACACCTTTGTGTGCAGAGAGTTTCGTTTCTCCGTTAACGAAGACACGTATAATAATTCCACAAGAGAAAGAAAGAGAGAGAAAGAGAGATGCGCGTGTCGAAACAGTGGGGGCGTTGTTCGAGGATGATTCATGAAAGCACGAAGAACGCAAGAAGCATCTTCGGTTTATAAACGTCCTCCATCATCGTGCATATAATTCGAATGGAAATGGGTAGCCGTGTCTGGTTACCGATCGTATGACAGAGTATAAACTTCCGTAATCGTAGCCAGTCGGTAAAGTTACTCAAACCTCCGTGGTTTTAACGTGGTCACGTTCCAAATCATCGCGCGTCCCCCTTCTCCATGAATCTATTTCCATCGAACAAAAATATCGATGAACTCAACATAGTTTATTATGCGTTATTATGCACGAGAAATTCCTTGATAATTGGATGATTATATAATAATCGTGATGAAGCTCATCGCCTCGCAATTATTAGAAAGAATTCGATCGAGTTAAATCTTACAAATTGAAGATTTTCCAATAGCCGATCTATGCCAATCTTATTCCATTTCAAAGGAATAATAAGTTCTAATTTTTAATTGAAACTGTTACCTCGACGCTTAATTATATCAAAGATAAGACAAAAAACGTGATAATTTAATTTCCAATCAAGACAGTTTCAATAATAGGCTTCTGTTTAGATTTAACGAAACGAATGCAAACACGTAATCGTTTTTCTTCTCTCTCTAAACATTCGTCTCTCGTCATCGATCTTATTAACGTAGATAACCTGATCAGAATTTTCTTCCATCTGTAATTATCTTTATCTGCACTATTCTTAATTTACCTTGAAGCCGCCTATATTGCATATATATCTCTACGAGATAAAGCTACAAAAATTACGAAACGTCGAGAATAAATATTTACACGGAACAAAGTACGTTACGTTAGCCGAGTGACGGTGTTTCGTAAACAATCGCGTACGAAACTGAACCGAAATGAGAGCGAAGCGGAATTGGACTGGTGGGGACTGGTGGGGACTGGAAACGGTCACAACTTTCGATATTGGCTTAAAAGTGACGTTGTAACGACTCGATTTTCGTTTAAAAAAATCGCGCATCCAAAAAATCGTAAATCTTGCCTGCGATACAATTGATCCGCCTCGCGATGCAGAGCTTGGGCATACTCCCGGCTATTTTTCAAATTTTGCTTCGAATCGGTCCTCTTGTGATCGAGACGGGCACGGTATTCCGCATTCTCGATCACTTTCCTCGTGTCGTTCAAGTCCTCAAGGTCGTCTTTCACGCTTCTGCTCGTGAGGACCGCCATCGAAATTTAAAAGGACTGATGTTGACGTTCGTCTGGTCGAAGTTGAAATGAGCCGTTAGCCCCCCCCACCCAATCTGCTTTGAAGTTTGCCAACCATCACGCGAGAATTATTTTTAGAAACGGGACGTTAGATTCTCACTGGCGCTCTATCTTTATCATCGATCTTGTCAAGTTTAATTATTAATTATTTTCAACGCGAAACGATACGAAAGGATCGAAAGATTAATATAAATTTCGTATGCACGCGCGTGTGTGTATATATTATTATTATATATACAACTATATTTTCTACCATACTGTATATATTCACAAATTACACGGAAATTTTATTTTCTACTTGAACAAATCTGATTTTCACAATTGGACTTTCACGAAGGAATTCGATTTATCCATTTAACGGAGCTGAAACGCGGGCAACGAAGAGCGGAACTTATCCTATTAGCCGGCGCAATTTTCCAGGGTCCGCGTGGAAAATCCAGCCTCCATCAAAATCCCATCTTTTCCAACGTGGAAACCTGAAAAAGGAGATAAGGCGTTACACACCTCGCGCGCTCTCGGGAAGATTGTCGTCGTTGAACACCGTCCAAGATTATCTCTCTTAAAGGGGCTCGAGAATAATTGGCCCGAACGTTTTTAAACGTCGTCAAGTTTTTCCGAAACTTCTTAGCAAGTTCGAATTTAAAATCCAACGACAACGATTATTTTTCTATTTTTTTTTTTTTGGAAACGATTATCAGAATTTCACGAAATCTGACCTTGGTTTCCCGACAGGAGCGCTTTTAGAAACCTTTCGCCTGTCGCCGAGCATCGATCCTTGGACGAAATCGTGTAATCGCATCCACGAACTGGCACGATAAGTTTAGACGATCGTCTTGTTGTTATTATGATTAATCGTATTGATCGAAATCGATGAATCCAGGCCTCTCCTTGGAGGGTTCGAATTGCGCCAGCATGGCCCTCCTCATCTCTATGACCGGATCTTTGGGCGGTTGGGGCATGATGCTCTTCCTCTTGCAGGGGAGTTTGAACTTCTTGTCGACGGGTTTGCAGCCGGGCATCACGGACATCCTCCTGTTCGCTGGGACCGCCTCCATCCGCCTCCAAAGGAAATCGACCTCGGGCTTCATGTCCTCGGGCATCATGTTCAATATAAGCTGTTGCCTGGCGGCGATCGCGTCGAACGCCAGCAACTTTTCCATGTCAATGTCGTCGATTATCTCGACGGCCCGTTTGTAGAAATCGACGAGGAAGTCGAGGCCGAGCTTCCTCGAGCTGGTCAGCGCGATCAGGGCCGCCTCCTTCGCCTCGTTCCGATAATTCTGGCATATCTCTATGCGTATGAACAGGTGTTGGGAGTTGAGCATCCACTGCTCGTTCTGGGCCTCCTGGCCCATGTCGCGGGCCTTCTTCCCGTAGAACCTCGCCAGGTCGTAGCGGCGTATGTCGATCAGGTATTTGCACAGCTCGTGGAAGAGCCAGGCCAGCTCCAACGGCTCGGACGCCATCGCCAATCTCCTGCGATCAGGAGAATCCAGAGGGTGAAAAGAAATATTTTTTTTTAATCATTTGGTCACGTTGAAGATCCTTTTTCCTCGTTCGTGGGGGGGGAAACGATTATCAGAATTTCACGAAATCTGACCTTGGTTTCCCGACAGGAGCGCTTTTAGAAACCTTTCGCCTGTCGCCGAGCATCGATCCTTGGACGAAATCGTGTAATCGCATCCACGAACTGGCACGATAAGTTTAGACGATCGTCTTGTTGTTATTATGATTAATCGTATTGATCGAAATCGATGAATCCAGGCCTCTCCTTGGAGGGTTCGAATTGCGCCAGCATGGCCCTCCTCATCTCTATGACCGGATCTTTGGGCGGTTGGGGCATGATGCTCTTCCTCTTGCAGGGGAGTTTGAACTTCTTGTCGACGGGTTTGCAGCCGGGCATCACGGACATCCTCCTGTTCGCTGGGACCGCCTCCATCCGCCTCCAAAGGAAATCGACCTCGGGCTTCATGTCCTCGGGCATCATGTTCAATATAAGCTGTTGCCTGGCGGCGATCGCGTCGAACGCCAGCAACTTTTCCATGTCAATGTCGTCGATTATCTCGACGGCCCGTTTGTAGAAATCGACGAGGAAGTCGAGGCCGAGCTTCCTCGAGCTGGTCAGCGCGATCAGGGCCGCCTCCTTCGCCTCGTTCCGATAATTCTGGCATATCTCTATGCGTATGAACAGGTGTTGGGAGTTGAGCATCCACTGCTCGTTCTGGGCCTCCTGGCCCATGTCGCGGGCCTTCTTCCCGTAGAACCTCGCCAGGTCGTAGCGGCGTATGTCGATCAGGTATTTGCACAGCTCGTGGAAGAGCCAGGCCAGCTCCAACGGCTCGGACGCCATCGCCAATCTCCTGCGATCAGGAGAATCCAGAGGGTGAAAAGAAATATTTTTTTTTAATCATTTGGTCACGTTGAAGATCCTTTTTCCTCGTTCGTGGGGGGGGGGGGGGAAGAACGAAAGATGGAATAATAGAAGAGCAAACGTACCTGCGGTACGTTTTAAGAGCCTCTTTCCTGTCGACGGCTTTTATCCAACCGATGTCTACGTCGCGCGGCAACTCCGCCACCCGGATCCCCAGATGGTGTTTCAGGTATATCTTTTTGAGGTTCGGGTCTTGTATATTGGTCACGTTGCGCGAGTCTATGTAGGTCCACGCGATCATGTTGTAAAGCACGTTCAAACACTTTTCCTTTAAGGGGAACATCTTCGAGGAGAACGAGTCCAATTTGTCCTTTATCCAGTCCACCATTCTAATTGGCAATATAATTATATTTCGAGTAATTTGTCTTGATATTTTTTTGAAGGAAAAAAAGGGGGGAGAATGGTCACCTAAAGAACTCGACGTAATCCTTTTTCATTCTAATCTCGTGGAGGCGATTCAGCAAGAAGTCGGCTTGCACGATGATCAGGTTCTTTTTCAGCTTCTTCTCGGCCTCTAATGTCCTTTTGAACCCGTCAGGTTTAAGCCTGCGCTTGAACAACATCACGTAAAGGGGCTGCCGCATCCGCAGAACGTTTTGTCTACGAAGGCATCTCTTGTAATTTCTCCATATCATCTCCTCGAGTAGAAGGGAGGTCTCTTTATTAGGGGAGTCGTATTTCTCGGGATTCTCGGCCAAAAATTGCAGGAATTCCTTGTCCTTGGCCAAATGTCCCATATAAATCTGAGAGAAGATGAGCTGCAACTTTTTAAACCATAGCTCCGCCTGGGCAATGGGGTCGTTCACTTTGAACTTCGATTGCTCCTCCTCTATGCCTGCATAGATAATTTAATTTTTCACTTTTCAGTTTTTTTCTTTTTCAAAATTCGAAACCTCGAAAATACGTAAGAAAATTAGAATTTTCCCTTGCAAAAAGAAAATAATATAATATACTTTATTATCAATTATATCTGTGAAAGATAATATAATGTTGATTTCTTCTTACAGCTCCTTGTAAATTTCCAAAAAATCGAAAATAGAATACCTGGAATATAATTCTGTTGAATTCTTCGCACAGTTTGTGAAAAATCGCTTCAGAATTTGAAATCTTTGAAATACGTAAGAAAATTAGAATTTTCTCTTGCAAAAAAAAAGGAAAAAAAGAAAGGATTTCACCATTTATCTCTACCTCTATATTTCAATATCTGGAATTAACTTTATTATTAACTGGAAGATAATATAATATTGAATTCTTCTTACAATTCTCTACAAATTTGCAAAGAATCGTTCCAAAATTTGAAATTTTATCTCGAAAATAAATAAGAAAATTAGAATTTTCCCTTGCAAAAAGAAAAAGAGAAGAATTTCAGCATTTATCTCTGACCTATATTCTTATGAATTAACTTTATTATTAACTATATCTCTGGAAAATAATATAATATTCTTACAGTTTGCAAAGAATCGCTTCAAAATTTGAAATCTCGAAAATACAAAAATTAGAATTTTCCCTTGCAAAAAGAAAAAGAGAAGAATTTCAGCATTTATCTCTTCACCTATATTCTTATGAATTAACTTTATCATTACTATACGCCTAGAAAGTAATATAATTTTAAATTCTTTTTGCAATTTTTGCAAAAATCGCTCCAGAAATCTCGAAAATATGTAAAAAAAGAAAAAAAGATTTCAACATTTATCTCTTCACTTATATTCATTACATATTTCGAATTAACTTTATTTAGAACACGAGATATTATATCGGAGGATTAAAATTTCGAGCAAAATAATATTAATCACCGTTCCAAGCGAATGGAATTGATTATCTTTTTGAAACGTCTAATGCTTATCGCTTCGATTTATCGAGCTGGTATTATAATCAGGTATTGTTCGTTAGCCCGATTACCAATTGGAGCCGGTCACGAGGAGGGATTAAAACGTTCTAAACGAACGACTTTTAACGAAGCTCCCACTCCTCTTTCTCTTTTTAAATGAAAATCGCCCTCCTCGAGATCGAGGAGGCAAATCCTTCGAAAAATTAATCGGCTTAATCGAATCATTCGCGTAGTTTTTTTTTTTTTTTTCTTCCAGAAAAATCAATCTTTCGAATCAATCCTGCGAAAATGCTTCGCAATCAGATTAATCGATCGTAACGATATTTGGAAATTTCGAAAAACGCGGACGGATCGAAGGGGGGAAAATGTCAAATGCGAGCCGAATACCTGCGAGCTCGTCCACCTCCTCCTTCAGCTTCTCCACCAAATACTGTCGATACTCTTGGAGCTCGCGTATCCACGGGTAAAGAAGTTGAAGCGTTATCGGGGACGTGTCTATGCCGATGCAGTCCTCGATCGTCTCGTTCCCCTGCAGTATACCGTGCTCCAAATCCGTGGTCGGATGTTTCTGAAAGCCTTGGTGAGCGTGTATCAAGCTGTACTCGAACTCGCCGATGGCAAACAGGGTTTGCAACTGTATGTGCTTCACGTGCGAATACCTTGGATCTGGGGATGAATTAACGGAGGAGTTAATCGTATATAAAAAAACGCCGAAACATGAATTTCACGTTAAAATTAATTCGCGTGTGGATAAATTAATTGAAGAATACGATTGTTAATAGAGGAGGAAGAAAATTCGAAATTGAAAATTCGTAGAAGAATCGGAGAGAAAATTTAATTTCTCTCAATTCAGGTTTTCGCAAAACGAATCGAAATTCCGAATGAAAATACGAGATAATTCGAAAATAATTCTGAACGAGAGGATATTTTCCACTGGGTGAAATTTTCAATGTTTTCTTCAAGTTTTGAAAAGAAGAAAAAAGTTAACCTAGCTCCACGCATTTTTCCTCGGTCTTGAACGCCCTTCTGAACCTGGCGTAGGCGAGCTGGGCCTTGACGAGCCCCAGATAAGTTCTCAGGTCGTTCGCCTGGCTCTGTTCGATCGCCTTGTGGAAATACAACTCGGCCAAGTGGAATTTCCCAAGTCTAGCGAACACGTAGCCCCATTCTCGATAAACTATACCGTCCCTGAAGAACAACGGGCCCTCCTCCTGCTTCATCTTCGCTCCCAAGCCCCTTGGATTGATCTGGACAGAGATAAGTTGGAAAAATTTTCATCCAATTTCGGTCGGGATTAACCTGTACCATTGTATGTGCACACGTGACGGACGACGTCGTGGACACGGTGGATTTGTTCATCGTGAATTTTGAATCTGTCTGAGACCGGGTTTCCGAGTGAAACTATCGCGTTCTCATTTTCACGGCCAAATCCGAGCCGTGAGATTAAACTGGGCGAAATTAATTCTGTCACGTAGTTCTCCGCCGATTTTGACTATTCAAAATTTGCATTTTGAGATCTCGACACGCTTCAAGCTGTAACGGACGAAATAAAGAACTTTCGTCGCGTTTCCTTTGTTTATTATTCCAAATAAAATAAAATAAAATTCCTTCGAAACGATGTTTTCTTCGAGCTCGTCGCGTCACGAGACGAGAATTTATTATTAAAGATAAAAAAGAAAGAAAACAAGGAATTTATATACTGCCATTTATATCTTTTCGGAATCGTTAAGCTAAAAATACGGAATTTCGTCCAAATATTCGATCATTAATTCACGAACGAAATGCACTTTCGAAGAAGCAGGGGGAGAGGGGAGGGGGGGGGGAAAGGGAAAGGGAAAAGGAAAAATTCATCTTTCAGAAAGAATTTCTGAGTTCGTTTTAGATGAAGGGAGCAGTTGTAATCCGATTTCAACTCTAAAATAATAGGACTCCGCCTCCTAAAGCTCCTTGTGGTATTAATTGTCACGCACGACCAGGGATTACATTCGAATAACCGAAGAGGATTTGCGCGCATAACTTTTTCCCTTTGCTTTGTCAGGGAACTTTCTATCATCAGATCGGCGTGTGAATGTTTGTCCTCTGTGAATCTCGAAAGAGACTTTCTCGTAATTGCAAGCTTGGATGTTTATTAAATATCCGTTTTAAACTTTTAACTTTGAATAATTGTTATTATTACGATCAGTCAATTAATCAGTGGCCATGGTTAGTTAACAGTGGATCAATCAAAGTGACCACTAAATCAATAAGTCAATAATTAATCAATGATTTAGAGTCAGATGATTGGTAGCTAATTAATTAACTATCGTCGATCGATAATAAGTTAGCGTTCACTTGTGTTAATAGTTAATCTTTGGTTAATCAGTGATTAGTTGGCGATCAATCAATGTGGCCAATCTCTGATTAATCAACCAATCAAGATCGATAATCAAGACAAAGATGTTAAGTCAATGATCCCACTCAATGTGTGATAATATGCTCTCTCTCAATTCAAACTCGAATTATCTTGATCACTTATAACGCAAATAACAACACCACTCAAAGATTAATATATAAAATAATAAGGTACGGTGAGATGTATCTTATAATTTAATTTAATTGAAGCAAAGAAAGTTTGGAAATTTATGGAATTGCTTGTTGCAGAAGATTGAAGGCGAAGGGAAATATTTGGCGACGTTTTAGAGGCGTGGAATAATCGTGGGCCATCGGTTTAGCTGTGTGCCCTCGAGATGCGGTGATGGCTTTGCTGTACAGATTCGCGCAGCTGCCTGACAGCAGTGGCACGCGGGTCTTCTCGTTCGTCGTCACAAGAAGCGTGGTACGGGACCCCGAAAGAGACGTGACAAGCAAGGAGCTCGTATGCGGCTTTCAAAGATGGTCCGTTGCGTTTTCACGAGGGAACAAGGTACATTTAATATACACTCTGTTAATAATAACTTCTTATATTGTTAATTTCTTTTTTCACTTGTTGATCCTATCGATAAAGATTATTGAAATAATTATCTTAATAACAGTAATGAAATGCGATCGTTGATATTAAAATTGTGAATGCAAACAAATTAGATAAATGCAAGTGAAATTGACTTTTTGCATTAAACTTTGCAATATTATTAACCTATTATTGTAAAGATTATTGTAAAATAATTATGTGTGCAATCGAAAGATACTAACGAAATTACAGGTGAACAAGTTAAGCAATGAAACGTTCACGTGTATAGATAAATTTGGCTTTTGGAAAATAGCCAGAATTTATCAGAATTTATCATTAAAATCGATCGAGAGCAAATAAACCGAGAGAAATTGTTTCGAGAGTCGCGAACCGCAAATATGGCTTCGTTCTGTGTTTTTTTCATTTTCCTTGTGGAATGCGGAAGCCAATTCTATTTATCTCTCTCTCTCTC